CCACAGCCGGGTGTTGGACATGTGTGCCGCACCGGGCAGCAAAACCGCTCAGCTGATCGAGATGATTCACGGTGATGAGAGTAGCGACCTACCGAGTGAGTGGTTTCAAATTCTAAAATAAAAGGGCTGGAGAACTTAATTACCATTGGGCTATCAACTTCCTTTGCGTTTCATTGACTTGACGCCATTTGTGTCACTCTGCTTTCATGGCGCTTAGTTGATCTTCCTTGCGGTGTTATCTGCAGCAAACCCCTTGTTGACGGAGGATAATAACTTTGGCTTGGTGACCTCTGTAGCATTTAGTCGCATGTATTGCTTCCTTCTCATGAACAATGATGCTCTTGTACCTACCTCTGAAAAACGGAAGGCTAACCTCCTGACCGAGGTTTGACCAACGGCGTTTCGATTGTGAATCTGATGTTCAACCGACTGAACAACCCTTGTACTTTAGAAATACGTTTAGAATAAGTCAAACTAAGTTTAATCGCCGTATCAACCAAAGTTTCGGTTGGGAATCGTTTAAGAAAATGAACTTACAGACTCCAGGTTATATGAGAGGTCCTTCTCATCTCCCACTGAAGCGTAGGACTGTTTCAATTTACGGATACGTCTTTCAAAGCGCCAAGAGTAAGCTGACAAGATTAATTATTGCCTGTTATAAAAAAATCCAAAAAATCCATTTTGCTGGTTTTCTCGGCAAGTTTTTTTCAGAAGGTTTCGTGCTGGCAAACGACGTGGACAATAGAAGGTGCTATCTGTTAGTACACCAGTCGCTGAAGCGTTTGAACAGTCCGTGTTGTATCGTTACGAACAGCGACTCAGCGGTTTTGCCGAATCTGGTCATCAGAAACGTAAGTGATTCATTTCTGGTCGTTCGGTTGTTCATTTGTATGTAACGAAACGGTTGAAGGAAAAAAACCAAATAGTGCCCCTTCGGTTCGACCGTGTGCTGTGCGACGTTCCTTGCAGGTTTGTCATGTCTTCGTTTGACTAGTATTAAACGTATATCGTGCTGTTTTTCAGTGGCGACGGTACTCTTCGCAAAAACGTAAATATCTGGAAAGACTGGCACCTGTACCAAACATACAATTTGCACAAGTAAGTTAATTTTGTTTTTTGCCGTTTTGTTGGACGGATTTGCTTAGTATTTAATTTATTGTCGCATCGTTTTCGATAAAGACTGCCAGAGGTTGAATAGCAGGATAACCACCCAGATTTATGATTTCTTTAGTGGCTTCCAAGGAACGTCTGGTTTTTCTGAATTTGAATATTAATTGATTAGTATTGAACTTGACGATGTCCATAAAGCAGAACTGAAGCAGCATGAAGAATAGCAACTGTTCAAGTTTTAAGGCATGGAAGTTTTAAACTGTTTTTTATCTTCACACTTTCTACTAACGTTTGTCGTTAAATTTAGCATTTTACTGCTAACATATTTCACCGGCGACCGATAATTTCAAAAGACAAAATGATTGACATAACTCATGTAGATGTGACATCCAGACTACAATTTAGACGTTTCAGACTTTGTTCTTGTCAAACGTTGAAAGGAATAGCGCGCAAGGTGTTACCTAAATTTTATGACAACATTTAGCTTCTGAGTCTTTTTCACGTCACAAGTTCAGTCCGTAAGCCGGGGCAGGTTATTTATTATGTTCGTCAGTGACGCTGATAATCCCAGGAGCTAGGCCGTTTCACTTCCTTGGAAATCACTGTTTCTTTGCTTCAGCTGAAGATTGAGGAACAATTCGTTTGATCGTTATTGGTCTCATAAACGAAGTCGAAATCAGGTTAACTTTTTTCTTCCTGGTTTTTAACCGTCCTTTCCGTTTCTCTACACCACTGAGCCGCGAAATCCGTGAATGATTTATTGATTTGCAGCAAGGAATAACCTACTAAATATGGGTACGCTTGAAACGGTAAAATTTGCTTCTGTGAAGGTTTCATCCCTCGCAGGCTCGAAGATTAGTCTAAATGTGGAGATTACAACACTACGTTCAAGGTAATTTTACTCACAACACATAATATACACACGTGCGACTCAATCAACTTTCTGATCATGAAACCTCTCGAACTATCACGTCTCTATCCCTCAGAAACTAATTGTTGACGCATTTCTACTGTTCTTGGATTGCTAGCACCAATCATCCTACATCCACTGCATTGCTATATGTCACCTATCAACTGGTTACCACATGAGGTAATGTAGCATGTTGCTGATTTACGACTTTAGGTGGAGTATCACATTTAATATGGCATTTCCGGCTTGCCTCATTAACAGGCGCTTAGCTCCTTCCAAACTAGATTTCACGGAGTATTTGACTGCTTCTTTGATTTTATATGCTAGTGGACCATTTAACCAGCTTATAACTCGACGGTAATTGAGCATTGCCGATGCACTTATGGATACCTCGGATTATTTTATTTGTTCGTGCAATGCTTTGCCCGTCGAGTTTGGTAGTAAGTCAGATATTGTTCTAATTAGCAAAATCGCGCAAACTTCGTGCAGTTGCTCGAATGCGTTGAAGTCACAGTCTGCTCAAATGATGTTCTGTAAATAGCTTGAATTAGGAACTGATGCACTTTGCCGTAAAGTCTATTTTCAGGACATGATTTATGATCCTCATGAAGGCACCATATTGTCTTATCAGCTTTTAAGGTATCAAGTTTGGTGTAATTACGCCAGGGCATTCGTAGAGTGTTTCCTTTAGTGAAAGGAATCAGCATTAGTAAAAGCCATGTTCGACTGTTCTGCTTTGCCTTATAAACTGTTACTGATGGAACCTACTTTTGTGCTGAAATGTATTAACCCGCTTTGTTTATATACAGACTTCAAACACGAATCGCAAGACGTGGCTTGGAGATCCTCGAAGTCGACGGTTTGCTCGTTTACTCGACATGTTCGCTAA